GTGTTGTTTCAGTTTATGCCTGAAGTTTGATGGATCAAAAGAACTTAAATCTCACTATTGTTGTTTCACTGACTTCTTCACTTATAGTGGTGGGACCATGGCATCAAAGGAGCCAAGGTTTGTAGTTTAGCAGGTGAAATGTGGCTAGTAATGTTCAAGAACACAAGAAGAAGGGAGTTTAAAACTGCTCCCCTTTTGTTCAAATGTTGAAGCTAAAGACGTATGCTTTTGTCTTGTACATGAATTCTCTTTATCAAAGCAGAGGTGCCCTTATCCCAGAACTGTAAATGTAACTGTTATCAACAAAGGGCTTTTGCGAAAAAATTTGCTTTCCAGACGTAACCTCTAGGCTGAGGGTTTTGAATGAGCTAAAGAAGAGGAACCATAAACAGTTTTCCACTCCTACTTACAATGTAATGAAATGGGTTTTCACTTGTATTGAGAGTAAATTGTGTGCAGTCTTTTGGAGATGTCCTACCTCAGATTCTGCTGGAGATTCTTAACAGGTAAAAAATCAACCAATGTATCACAAAAATGCATATGCAAAAATGCCCTCATCTAATAGAAGTTCAACGTACCTGCCATTACACACCACTAGTTTATAAATATTATAATAGTAAAAAGAGGGATAGAATCTTTTTTCTTAAAATTAACAAACAAAACCCCAAAAAATAACAGACAGAAATCAAAACAACAACAAAAAAAAAAGAATGAAGAGTGAGTAATAATTCTCTTGGTAATAAATCAGTTATGCAAAATGGCATTATAACTTTATTTTCAGGATGCCATAACTGAACTTTGAAGTAAGTATTCTTCATCTTCTGCCTTTATTTATATCCTTTCATATGATTCCATGACTTCTAAATTCAAAAGAGAAACAAAATCAAAATGAAAGAGCAGGAAGGTTCAATATTCCAACATGACATAGAGATACACATTTATGTAGTTAGGAGTTTTTGGTGGTAGTTTTGATTTGCATAAAAACAGGCAAAAAATCTCCATGCTGTCAGTATTTCTAAAAATGCTTTGAATTATCTTCTCTAGTTTGATCACAAGAGACAAGAGAACTATTGTTTCACGCCTGACTAGGTCATAAATGCATTTTAATAGAATTACTTACAAGACCACTACTAAAAACATATAGATTAAATAACTTTGTGTTTGAACTAGTGAGCTGGTCTTGATGAAAAAAAAAAAACTGCCTCAAAAATGTTGACAAGATGATTGAATTATCTTTACAAATACATCATCTCACAGATGGTAACTACACTTTTAATTTTAGAGTGATTTTAGACCCTTGGTAAGAAAACCCTTTAAATTCCAATAATAATTATAACAACTAAATCAGCAATACCTATAATATTGTGTATCTTCTTAGGTATTTATTTGACTGAAAGACCAGAATAATGCTTTTGTTCATTAATGTAATTGGTGTTTTGAATTGTGTCAGCAATTATTTTTCACAGTAACATTTTTTTGCAAATTTGGTCACATTTTATTTCATCATTTATACTTCTGTTAATCCAAAATGCTTCTTTGTTCTAAGGTCTTAAATGCAGAAAAGTCACACAAAATAATAGTTACAGTGCAAAGTTTCAGGCAGCAGAATATTTTAGGATTTGATATAAGTGAAAATTTGAAATGCATAATTTTAAAAGTCAGGAGGTGAATATTAATCCCAGGATGACAATATGAAGTCAGCAAAATACTTGTTTAGTCTGATATGCTTTGTTCAGCATTAATCATTAGCACAGGGTATGAAAACAGGCAAATGCACAGAGGTAGTTCCCATCAGTTTAGGCATTTTTTGCACAATAGATGGTAAAGATTTTTTGTGATTTTTTTTTTTTCCCATGGGTTTGCTTTGTTCCTTTTTGAGCCTCCAACAGTTTTGTTATCAACAGTGTGTTTTTGACAAGCTGTTGTGTGAAGCAATACATCCTTCTGGTAGCATTCCATCTCAGCTGCTATGAATCTACACAACTCATGCTTTAGATAAGCTTTTGATATCATAGACAGTTTAGATATTATATTAAAAACAAATTACACTGACCCACGTCCCCTACAAAGTGCCAGATCATGGGCTGAAGCACTGGCATCACTTAACTGTTAGTCTGATCCCACACACATCTGTGACTCATATCAGCTGTCACTGTTTCAGATAAATTGTCTGGAGGATCAGATATATTGAGGACCAATCCGAGAGCTGGGTGTGACCTGCCTGTTTTAGGGGCAGAGTTTATGTACTTAAATGTAAGATGGGATACAAAGTTTGATCTCAGGGTTTAAGAATGTCCATGGCTGAATGTGGACATAGGAGGTATGCCTAAATTCATTTTTAGGTAAAATTCTCAGATATATAGATTAAAAAAACAAACAAACAAAAAAAAAGCCCGCCAGAACTGAATCAATGTAAGGACAACTTTGTTAGCCTATGTCTTTGTCATTAAGAACCAATCAATATGCTAAATAGTTTTTATTACTGAGTAAAAATAGTTAAATAAATATATTTTCTTAGTCAACATGGTCAGTACTAATAATAATAGTAAGCTAAGCCTTACAACTAACTGAACAGCATGGCCCATTCCTGTCAAACATTTTATCTTGATGTCATGACAGCAGTCCCTGTCATTTGAAATGAAGAGTGATAATATTTGAGCAAATACTATAGGTATAGCTTAGCTGAATCATTGTACGTGCTAAAGCTGCTGAAGTCGCAAATCCTATATTAATTGATTTCTTTAATGTATGCTAAAATATTAGCCAGTATTTCATTTCATTGCCTTCATAAATCTAATACAACACTGTTCCATCTGAATCAAACATATTTTATCTCAGATCAAAATCTTTCCACTTGATTAAGACTTTGCTAATACATTTGAGTCTTTCACCTTAGTATTGCCACAGCTTCTGAAAAGATATCTGGCACAGTAGATTGAACATTTCTGGGTTTATTGCCATTTTTTTTTTTTGAGCCTCTGACTTTGGGAAAACAGTTTGCTTCTGATTTGACAGCTTTATTCCAACCCTAAGGCATCTGTGATAATTAATAACTGTGTCAGATCAGTTCATTCTAAACAGATGTGCTATGCAGGGTTTTTCCTTATCTCCCCTGTTTTCTACCTTGGTAAGTGACCTTTATTAAATTATGTTTCAAACCAGGAACTCATGGCATTCAGATTTCATAGGGCAAGATGAGAATGCTATTATCTCAGCTCATACCAGAAGCTGTATTATTCTATAGTATTCTGAGTGTACCTGACTCACGGGCTTTTTGTTTTGTATTTTAATGCAGGTTTTGATGGAACAAACATTAAGACAAAATCGGGATAAAATATTCCTCTTTCATTCAATTTTATTTATTTCTCTTGTCTTTTTTTCTTTTTCTTTTTCTTTTTCTTTTTCTTTTTCTTTTTCTTTTTCTTTTTCTTTTTCTTTTTCTTTTTCTTTTTCTTTTTCTTTTTCTTTTTCTTTTTTCAGAAACATATACAAATTAGTTTTATCTGTTTGGTGATTATATATTCATTTCCTTCAACATTTAAAATATTTTTTCACTTTTTTCTCATTTCTTATTTATTTTCTAAACTAGAAACTGCTTCTTTAAGAAATATATTTTAGAGATGCTATGGATGCGAGTTTTATGCACTAATATTTCACACCATTTTTTATTCCTATCTGAAAAATAGTAGGAAAAAATGTGAGTGTCAGGGATCTACTTGTCATTCATATACAATTCATGGGGTTTTTTTATTATATGGTTTCAAAATGAAATAAGGGAGAAATTAATAAATTAGCCACAAAATTTACAAACAACTGTAAGAAAAGAGTAAACAAACCCATCTAACCCACCAAGAGCATCGAGTCATCAGGTCATGATTGCACTTAAAAAAACCTTCACCTGCTTGGACTCTGTTTGAGTCACAGAATCCCAACAAGAGTCTGCTCCAGTGAAGGCTTTCCATGTTCACCGTTTCCTCCAGGGCACATTCACTTACTACACTTTGGGATATTATATGGGTTGCAGGTGGATATCTGCTCTCCTGTGACTTCATAGACAAGGGGACAACTTACTTCACCACAGACTGCAACGAAACCTCTGCTATCCCACCTGGAGCACCTCCTCCCCGTTGCTCATCTCTGACCTTGGTGTCTTCAGACATGTTCCTTTTCTCACGTTTTTTCCTTACTCACTGTTTGTGCAGTGGTATTACCACTCTTAAATACACTTTCCTGCGGTGTCACCCTTTGGAGTCCAGGGCACAGAAGTGCTTGCATTGTGACAGCTGAAGAGAGCTGAAGCAGCATGGCTGGGGCAACCCCAGCCTTAATTTCACTCTTCCATGTATATTTGTATGCACATTTTTTTACTGTTACTATAACTCAAATCAATAATATTAGGAGAGTACATGAAACTTTTTGAGCCATCATGTACTAACATTTTTTTACAAAAAGTATCATCAGTTAAATGGAATTTCTAGGAATTCAATTCATAAATGTAAGTGCTCGTCATTTAGCTACTCCCTTGAGAGAGATTGTACTGTTTACCAACTTTTTTCTTTTACATATTATTTTAAACTTATAAATAGACATGCCATTAATCATGTGGATATGACTCAAAACCAACAACAATAAAGAAAAGAAAATCTTTGGGGGGAAAGTAGGGCAGTGTCATTACTATACAAGCCATGTGAAAAAGATGGCTAGAGAATAAGGGAAAATTTAGAAAAAATATTTATAACCATGTTTTTGAACAAATTGATTCCCTGCTTCAATTTTTTATTTATTTACTTTGGTTATTTTTATGGTTGTGTTTTCTCCTGTTCTGAAGTTACAGTATGAGGGATAGTTTCTCTGCTGAGTACATTTAGTGCATTGCAGCATACAAACACATCAGAGTCGCCCAGACAATTCCACAATCTTCTAAATCTGCATAAATGATTAAAATAAACCATTCCAGTATATTTTAAAGACTGCACTTGATCTCCTCTACAGAAATGGAGAATCTTTGGTGGAAGAATGAAGTCCAGACTATGAAGCCTAAAGGAAGAACTGCTACATAGGTATCCCCTATTAACCTGAGTTTGTTTATTACTAAAGGGTGAAGCCATAAAATATTTTTACCCTCTGCATAAGCATCTATATTTGTTTTGTGTCTCTGAGAAATTATTTTTTTTAAATTTTTCTTTCTCATTGGATGCACCTTTGAGGGAATAACTGCATAGTAAAATTTTCCTTTAAGCTTTGTTGGAAGGAAGATAAATATATTTAATCACATAAGGCTGGAAAGCCAGTGTAGTTTGCTTAGAGAGGTTGAAGGAGAAGGCAACCTGTGAATATATAATTCCTTCATAAATTTTTAGAAGGTACAGATCATCAGCTTTAGTAACTGTGTTCACTTTTAACTGAATACACTTCTGTGTTTGGTTTGTTTGCCTTCTCCATGATGATTTATGTTTTAATAGGTTAGGTATTTAGAACATAGTTCTAAATGTCCTGTGGGTGGTCTGCCTGCATAAAGATAACTTGTTATCTCTTTATCTTGAAAGAGGTTGGGCTCCTAAAGTAATGATTAATTTTCAAATTTTTTCCTTACGTATAGCTTCTTCCAAAATTAGTAGATCATTCTTAGTTCCTTTTCTCTCCGTAAAGCATGTATGGTTACTATATTTCTAATATGTAACAGGTCAAGCAATGTGACATTGAATATACTTGGAAGATTAAGTGAAATGGATAACTTCACAAGTTATCTATTTTCCGACAGTTTATTCTTTTTTTTTCCCACAGCCCCAAGTCACATTTAGTTCATCTTCTCAGCTTGTAAAGCTCAAGGTTAGAGCAATGAGAAGATGAACAGTGATAGAAAGCTAATATATAGTAATTTATCTTATGCTACTGGTTTGTAGTCTTTTCCAATTAAAAAAAAAAATCAAAGTTTCTTGAAAATTTTGAAATAAAAACTGTAATGAAATAGATCATGAATGGTTAAATGTAGCCCTGTGGGCCCTCCAGTAAAACATCTGAATAAATAAATAAATTAAATAACTACATTAAATAATAATAGCTTCACTAGAAAAAAAGCTGAAGCTTCTGAACTTGCTGCAAGTTTCCAGAGGTTTCATTCCTTCATTTTTTAACATTAATTGTTCTAATACCTTTGAAAAAATACCAGTCTCATTATTACTTCTTCTCATAGTTATTAAATAAAGCAGAATAAAGAGAGCTGCATATTAGAATCACTCTAAAAGGAAAAGTGGAATGAAGGGAAAAATAAAATCTGATCTATAATCTGGGGCTTTAGCATATCCTTAGACTATGAAAGTACATTAAAAAATCCATTAATGTTCTTTGGAGGTTTGCTTACCAGTTCTAACAAAACCTCTTTTATTCTGGGTTTTAGCTTACTCACTTCTTAGCATTTAGGATAAAAAATAAATTATAAGTCCACTACCTTTTTCTTGTTACAATGGCAAGCCAAATATTTGCAAAACAGTGAAATGTTTTCTCCACCTATGTGGAAATTGAGACTAGTTGAACAAACATATAGACTATCGGTTTAATTGCCTGAAACCTAGGAAACTCTCATGCCATTTGCAATAGTCCAGTAGTATACTTGGACTTCCATAAGGCTTTTGACATGATCCCACACAACATTCTTGCCACTGAATTAGAGAGTAATGGATTTGAAGGATGGACTGTTAATGGATAAGGAAGTGGTCAGATGATCACACCCAGAGTTGCAGTCAATTGCTGAATGACCAAGTAGAAAGCAGTAAAAAATGGTGTTCCTCTAGGGTCCATACAGGGTCCAATACTGTTTAGTATCTTCATCAATGGCAATACAAGGTGGGACTGAGAGCAACCTCAGCAAGTCTGTAAAATAATACCAAGCTGAGTGGTTCAGTTGCCAGACTAGAGAGGCATGGGATTCCATCCAAGGGAATCCTTGGACCTGACAGTCTAGAGGAGTGGTCCTTATGAACCTCATGAAGTTCAGCAAGGTAAATTTTAAGGTCATGCACCTGGGTCTAGGTAATTCCAAGTACCAATACCAACTGAGGGATTGATGGATTGAATGCAGCCCTGGGGAGAAGGACTTGGGAAACTTGGATGGACAAAAATTGAACGTGAGCTGGCAATGTGCACATGGAGCACAGAAAGCCAACCCATATCCTGGACTGCATCAAAAGATGAGGAATTTTTCCCCTCTCATGCTCAGAGTGTTTTGAATTGTGCATAAGGAAAAAAATGTTTACAGTAAGGACGGTGAGCCCCTGAATCAGGTTTTCCAGGGAAGTTGTGAGTGTCCCATCATTAGAAGTCTTCAAAGTCATGTTGGACACAGCTTTGAGCAATCTAATCTAAAGGACAATGTTCCTGCTCAAGGAAGAGGTGCTGACTAGATGATCTTTACAGGTCCTTTCCAACTCAAATCATTCTCTGATTCTATAAAATGTCTCAGTATTTATTAATTCTGTTTAGCTTCCAGTTTTAGGTCTAAAGGATATAAAGCAGCTATGGGTTCAGTATTACATTTTCCAAGGGATAATAAATATCTATATGTATATTTGTATATTTGTATATTCTACCGTATCATAGACAAGATTGCATATAAAGTTTTCTCTGTTTAGGTAACAGAATTTAGTCCTATCTACATACTAAATATTTGTGCTGAAATCTTCCAGAAGTTACAGTTTGGAACCTAAAGGATCTGAGATATTTTCTATGACTTTTCAAAGCTGGAGTTGCAGATAAATAGTCTTAGAAACATAGGAAAGTGTTTTAGTGTTTTTCCCAGATTGGACTGTTGGTTATGGTAGGATAATATTCTTTCCTCTTCTTTTCCAGAAGAAAATACATCCTGTATACTGTGTACATTTAATTCAGAGGACAATGAGAAGTAAATTCATTCTTTTCCTGAGACTTGGAAGAAATTAAATACCACTTTTCCCCCACATCCACATTGTGAGTGTTGTTTCCATCAGGATAATTTAGAAAATATGTCGTTATAAAAACATATATTGGATATACATGATATCATGGTGAAGTGGAATTTTCAGTTTGGAATATTTTTTAAATGTACATGATAAGTAAAGTATGTACTTAAAGAATTTGATTATGACTGAGAGTAGATAACTGAGGTCATACTTCATAATAGCAAATTTTTTGCTCTCTTCCCAAAAGGAAACTGGCATCTTAGTCCAATAACGTTTAGATGTATCCGTGTCAACCCTGTACTTGAAAAATGAACCTTAGGGAAAGCAATCCTATCACCAGCTTTTGTGTTCTACTTTGAAAACACTGATGACTATACAATTGATGTGACATTGCCAAAAAGCCTATGTATTTTTTTCTTAACTAAGACAGTCCTCTAATCCATGTGGGATTGTTTGAGAGTTTGTAATAAATCAAAAGGAAAGTTGGAGTTATGGGGTTTTTTTGTTTGTTTGTTTTGTGTTTGGGTGGGGTTTTTTTATTTGGTTAATTTTTTTTTTCTTTTGGTTTGGTTTGGTTTTTTGTGTATGCTTTAATTTGTTTGGGTTTTTTTTTTAAGTTTAATGAAAGAGACTAGAGCACTCTTAATACAACAGTAGGGGATACTAAATGGACCTAATATGTAACCAAATATTTAAATATTTAAAATATGATTAATTCAAATCCCTAAATTCTTGTTTTATTAAACTTGCCTACAGCATGGAAGAAACAGAAAGCTGAATCGGATGACAAGGAGCTGGGAACTATTACTGCAAAGTCTCAGGTGGATGTTAGACATACGGAGAGAAAAGTAGACGCTTGTGATTCAGTCAGCTGTTAAAGCTATGAATGTTTGCTCTTTGATGTGACTGGGATTAATTTATTATTTCATGACAAAAATCATGAATGTTTGATGACTGCTTAGTGTACATAACTCTGAAATCATGTAAGTATCCCTTGTTTAACCTTTGAGATGAATAGTTTAGCCATATATGCCCAGATTATGCTAATGATAATTTTTTTATCGCTACAGTCGTGCCGTTTAGATTTTGGGGTTTTCTCTATTTTTCAGTTTTTGAGTGATGTTAGTTGGAGGTTTTTTTGAAATTTGATTTTTCAGTCAAAGTTGATAAAAAAAAATCTTTCTGTTCCTTTCTTTATATATCTCAAAAAGATTATAGGAAATCAACACAAATATGACAGATACATCTATCATCAGTGGCACATCCAATGGTGGGTGATAATGACATGTTTCTTCAGCTGTTTAAAGTGATGGAAAGAGTCTATATCTTGATATGAAGAACCAATCTTTCTTCTGATTCTTCTAATGTATTACATTAACTGAAAGTTCAAAGAAATCGAATTGACCTTGTACATCTAAAACAAATTTACTCTGAATAGAAAAAAAAAAAAAGATTCTCTTCTTTCTGAAGTCACAGCAGTGGAGAGGATTTGCTCTGAGATCCAGAAAGAACTCTAAGAATGAGAAAAGGACAGACTGTCTCTTGAGACAATAATATTGTATATACTGGCAGAGGATTACATTTTAAATAAAATTATATCACTAGGGAACTATAGAAACATAGACTGAAGCATAGACCAAACACACAGTAAAAGTATGAAGCATACTGAAGCATAGAGCAAACATACAACAAAATTTAGAGCTCAAATTTTACCTGGGAAGTTGAATACAATGCTTCATTTAGTAAAGGAAATGGGCACCTAAGAGTTATCTGATCCTAATCAAGGCATTTCCTATTGGGCAGAGAGAAACTGACATATAATAATGGCAAAATCTGCAGGCACACAAACCAGAATGAAAACCAAGGACACTAAGTTCTTTATGGAACTTCTAAGAGCTCACAGAAAATGCTTAAAACGTTTGAAAGAAATACATCTAAAAATAATTGGTGTCTTACTTAAGAAAATTACCCAGATAGCACAGAACTCACTCACCATGAAAGGTGATGGTGGTGAGAATATGAGAATACTTTTTGTCAATCTAACATTGAGATAATGGTCACTGGAAAGTAGCAGCTTTTCTTGAGCACCTTTCCTGCCTGTAGCAGCACTTTTATTCAGTCTCATTTGGCCAAAGTGCAGAAATACATTACTGAAAAGGTGTTTAAATTTATTAGCAGACTGAAAATCTGGAAAGGTTTCTTAAGAGCAGTCTCAGTTTGTATATTGCATTAATGCCCAAGTGAACCTCTCCCAGTTTCAAACTGAGACCTCCACATCTTCTTAAAGTCCAACAAGCCTGTGTGCAAAGTGCTGCACCAGGGCTGGGACAACCCCCAGAATCAATACAAGCTGGGGGATGAATGGATTGAGAAGAACCTTGTTAGAAGGACTTGGGAAAGCCAGTAGACAAAAACTGGACATGAGCTGGTAATATCTGCTTGCAGCCAGCCAAATCCTTGGCTGCATCAAAAGCAGTGTGGCCGGCAGGTTGAGGAAGGAGATTCTGCCTCTCTGTTGTGGTCTCATGAGAAGTCACCTGGGGTGCTGCGTCCAGCTATATGAAGCCCCAGCATAAGAACATGGACCTCTTGGAGTGCGAACAGAAAAGTGCCACAAAAAATGATCAGAAAGGGACATTTCTTTACCAAATTTTGTAGTGACAGAACAAGGGGTAACAGTTTTAAATTGAAAAAGTGTAGGTTTACATTGGACCCAAGGAAGAAATTCTTTACACTGGGATTGGTGAGACACTGAAGCAGGTTTCCCAGCAAAGCTGTGGATGTCCCACCATTAGAAGTTTTCAAAGTCAGGTTTGAAGAGGCTCTCAGCCAACAGTGTCAGTGGAAGGTGTCCCTACCCTTGGCAGGGGGGTTGCAACTGATCATAATGTCCCTCCAAACCCAAACAATTTGTCCTGGGGAGACTTTATGATGCTTGTATGATTATATTTTATGATTCTATGATTCTATAACCTTCTCTTATATCTCTAAGTTTCAGGGGTTTCTTTTGTATTGCACTTTAAAACTTGGTTTAGAAGCCTTAAGATCAAATAGAAAAGATAAAAGATTGAGCATTTATTCTAAGAAAGATATTGGTCAATAAAAAATTATTAAGTCCTTTTATTACAGTGTAACTAGTAAAAATTAATTAAGAAGACAGTAAGAATAAAAATATATCTGATGAAGCCTTATAGGTCAGATTTAAACCTAAATTCAAACAACAAAATGTGAGTGTCCAAATACAGGTATCACATAAGTGCTTGAGCTCTGAAAGTATAACTGATAGCTACTCAATTCAGCTGCCTAACCATATCCGTTTGTTGTTATTTGAGATAGTCTATGGTATTTAAGACATCCATGTGTGTATTTCAGAGCAGAATTTGTCATATACAATATGAGCAATCTGCTCAGCACTAAAGATCCACAAGAGAACCAGTAAAACTCTCAAGTATCTCACAGACCAATGGAAGAATTTTTTTTTATCACTTTTCATTTTTCTAAATGCTTTCTGTTTGACATTTAGTCATCATTAGTCTTCATTATATCTCCAAGTCTTGACACCAAATCAAAGCTTCTGCAGCTGATGTGTCCCTTAAGAAGAAATATGACTTCATTAAATTGTTCTATTGTTCCTGAAGGTGAACATAAATTCCATAAAAACAAGAAATGTAACCACTGTTTGTTCAATTTGAGATGTTTGTACTTTTATCTTTTCCATGCTGATGTTGCTCCCCTTTCCCCTTCAATAATGAAAATAAAACATATACATAACACACTAGATATTGTCAGTTCAAAGTGCTGACATCCCATCAGAACCATTAGCAAAAAAAAAGTGAATTTCTTTGGGGTAATATTTGAAAGTGATGTAAGGCTAATATTGGAAAGTGATCTAAGGCAAATGAGAATAGAAAAAACATAGGGCAACATTTTTTATTCCTGGTGCTGGAATTTCAGTGTCAGAATAGGAGTCCATCTTTTGTTTAATTCAGTCTGATTTTACCATATGGGAAGTGTGCTGTCTTTTTGGCCATACAGCATAGTCCTTTTATAGGGAATTTTCAGCTTATATAAAGATCATGATTATTAACATTCAGGTTCTCAGTTACACTGAGAATTAACACTTCCTTACTGTATTTCTCAAACTCTTAAATAAAAATAAGTGTTCTGAAAACATTAAGAGCTTGAATTTAGAGAAAAAGAATAAAAAAAAATCTTTCTTACTCTTGTTATATGGCACACTTAAATTGCAGTGAAGGAAGTTGACCTATTGGCTTTTTAGGAACTTGCTACTCACTGTCAATATTGACCACATTAATTTGAGTAATTCTAACCAGAAATTCCTCTATTCTGACTGAAAAAAATGAAAATGCATAGGCACCCTTTTACTTTCAATAAATGATTCTGTCATATCTTTGAGTCAGAAGTATACCAGAACTGAAATTTGGAACTCACAACTCTGGATCTGAATTTTCATTTCAGATATCTAATAAAACATGACCAAGAATGAAAATTATGAATAAAGGAATGATTTTTTTCAGAGTGCTTTTTTTCAAACTCTCTGATGTAATTATAGAAATCTTGTTGTCTTATGTGTATCTTTTTCCAAGAACCTTCATACATAACATTCGTTTCTCTTCCAAGAATTGCATGTACAGCTGCTAATAGCAATGCTTTTATCCATTGCTTTCAATATGGATTGATGGAATATTGCTTGCTAAGAGCAGATTAAAGAGAAATGTTGTGGTGCTCGTCATTAGAACACAATGAATTATAGGCTTGTTGTGTAAATACCTGATGTGTTACCCAAATACCAGTTACTTTCTGACTTACATTTTAATTTCCTCTTTAAATGAGTCAGTCAAGGTGACGCTGGGGATAGAGAGGAGATCTAGACCCAAAAAAGGGATAAGAAACAACATATTCAAATGTCTCAACATACTGGTCAAACACAGTTAGAGCTCTTTAGAACCCTGATCGTTAAATGAATACCCAGTGAACCAATGAAAGGTGGATGATAAGATTGAACCTAGCAGATGGTAACCCTAATTTCCTCCTATTAGAAATTACATTGTGTAGAACACTTCCGTCTTTGTAGCAAAATCAAAATATTAGGTTTTAAGACTGTACCTTGCTGGTCAGACATAAAATATTTTGTGATCACTAAACAGTTGTGCACATGTCAGTACTCTCATTTGGATTGGAACAAACAATACTTCTTAATTTAAAATTGGTTGGAGTGTTCTTTCCCTATTCTTTGTATAGGGCAATGAGGCAATTATTTTTAAGCACTATTGTATTTGTTTAAATTAAGCTATTAGTTTGTCTACATTTCAAAAACATAATTGGGAATTGTATGGCTTCTTTTATTGTATTTTTTTAAAAGGAATTCATTCAAGAAAAACAATATTTACTTTATCAAAGTTAAATAATTTTTCAAATGCAAATTTATGCCAAACTATTTCAATTTTAAATTCAAAGTACAAGCCTTGATAAATTCAGTTTTTCTGACTGAAAATAGGAATTAATTTATTTTCAGTAATTACTTTCATATATCTGTTTTAGTAATAAGAAAATTGAAGCAAATTTGCTTCTTACTTCTCCCATTTAAAAATTCAAAATTCTATGAATTTTTAATATTTTAAAAGTAGAAATAAAAATGAGAACTGGATGGAAAAGAAATGACAAGTGTAGTATTAAAGCAATTAACAAGATGTTTTATTTATTGCTCACAATTTTAGCAATTCAGTACTCATATAAAATATGTTTTATCTGTCTGTTGCCTCAATCGTTATTGATGTGCAATACTATACCTCTATAAATCTTTTCGGAAATATACATTTTAAACATAGAAAAAACTAAACATACTAAAAAACTAAATTAGTGATAATGTGATTGAAGCAAGTGTTCTGGTTTAATAATAATAATAATAGTAGTAGTAGTAATAGTAGTAGTAGTAGTAATAATCTTCTGATTTTCCTTCTTACATTGGTAATGTCCTTGTTATCACTTTTTCAAGCAAAGTTTTGTTGCATCTTCC